AGACCGTGTTGGAACTAAACCCTTTTGGTGTTTTCACAGTGACATCATTATGATTACCTTCCTAGGGATGGGATGCAGGAGGGTTTTCCTGCTAGACTGATTTGGAATGTAAAAACAACTTCAAGGATTGCCTTCTTTGCATGGAAAACTCTGTTGGTGCATTCTAAAGCTGGACAATCTTACTAAAAGGGGAAAAATTCTGGGGAATATGTGTTACCTGTGTAAAAGAAAAGCTGAATCCAATAGTCATATTTTCCTACGGTGTCAGTTTGCTCAGCAATTGTTGGGGCTGGCTGTCAGGATACAAGGGTAAAAAAGAAAATTCATAAAAAGGTAAATTAGTCTTTTGCCTCTATCAATTAGTGTTAGGGTTGGGTTAATCTTTTGCACAAATCTTAATCTGCAGCGGCTACTGCATCACGAATGGCCGCACGTTTCCGACTGTGAAAATCGTTGCTTTTATTGCTTTAAATCCTGTAAAAGGCTCAATCTCTATGCTTATAATCATCAATGAAAGAAATAAAGAACAACTCAGATTTCTCTTCTCTGTTTCTCCTCTTTTTCTTTCTTCTTCTTCTCCTTCTTATATCAGATCAGTCACGATGTCTAAGGGTGCTGACATTGGCTTATGGTCTTCTAGGTTTGGATTGGATCATTGTTGATTCAGTGCTTGGAGCAGAATCCATAGGGATAAGAGAGTGAGACTCATTCTGTTGGCTACTTTTTGGGTGATTTGGAAATAGAGAAACAAAGAGCTTTTGAGGGTATTGATTCTAATTTTGATAAAATCAAGAGTAATTGGTCTATTCCCTAAATTTTTTGTTAAGGAGTTATCTGCTGTATTCTAGAGAAGATTTTAGGGACTTTATAAATATCTTGACTGACTTATAAATGTTGTATACGGGATGCACTCTCTTGGTGCTTATGATTTTATATACTTTTTATTTCAAAAGAAAAGGAATAGGTAACTCCCAAAAAGTGCCTTGTAACTCCCAAGCTTCCAATAAGTTTTCGCCATATTTATGGGGGAAAAAATACAAACAGTTTAACACAAACTACCAAGAACTGCAGAAAACTTAACCTACATTTTACTTTCCTGTCTTCGTGTGTAAATTGTCCAATAACAATTTATTTATTATAGACAACCCATTTTCCTGAATCATATTGAACAGATCGTAGGAGCATTAAATGTGAATGTCTTCTTGGGGAATGCTTGTACTTTGAGCATGGTTATTTTCAATACAAGTGTAGTCACTGAAAAACTGCAAAACTTTTTTGGGGAATATATGTGTGCAACATGTCCAATTTTAGGTATATCATCATCTATTTTATCCTCAGCGGCCATTTAATTCATTTTTTCCCATAATTGTCTACTGTTTAGGAAAACATTCTATATAGGTTGTCTTTCTAACTGTTTCTTTTCTCTTATTAAGGGTTGTGCAGAGGCTTGATCTTTCTAAGTCAAAAGCTTCAGTTCTAACTTCGGTTAGTCAAATTTGCTGGACTCTTGCTGTTTTACTTTTAACGTGATAATGCTTTTGTTCTTTGTTGCTTACTAATGTTGTATTGGAATATTTTACTTGACTTCTTGTAGGATATTACAACAATAGGAAATTCCTTGTTTTTTCTGGGTAGCCGCTTGGGTGACAGTTTGCTTGTGCAATTTACTCGTGGCTCAGGCACCTCAATGATGTCTTCCAGTCTGAAGGATGAGGCATGTACTGACTTCTCAAGTTTCCTTGGCTGAACAAGGATACCAATAAGCTAAATACAACATAGTGTTAATTTTTTTTAGAAAAAAATTGCCTTTTGTCCTCCGACTCCCCCCCCCCCCCCACCTCCCTTCTCCTACGCTCACGCGCACCCCATACATGCGTTTAAATTGTATGATCACTTTTATTTTATTGACGGTTATCATATTTTAGAAATTTTTAGCGGTAAGTTTTCTGAATGAATTTCACGGTTCATCATTATTTTATTTTATTTTTTTAATAAAAAGTATAATAAGATTCATCGATTCACAAGCACTAGGGGGATACCAATCCATGTGCAAAAAATATTTATAATTCAATCAAAATATCAATAAGGTTTTCAGAATCCTCTATTGTATAAAAGGGATGACCAATAATAAAAAGCCTCAGGGTCTGAAACGATTTATCTCTAATCCTATCAAAATCATCTTTCACCCCCTCAAGAACTCTCCTGTTCGTCTCATTCAATACCACCTAAAAAATAGCAAGAGAAATGAGACTCACATGTTCTTCTCTGTACTAATACCTTGTTAGGCTCAATATCTCTTTCCTTACTGATCCAGTCATCATCCAACTAATCCTCAGTATCTCATAAGCTATAGTTCATAACTTATACGCAAGCAGACACCAAAGAAGGATGTGATTACAAGATTCCGCCTCCTAAATCTCTTCCCCAACTGATTCGTCAATATTTCATAGTTTTCCGATTTCCAGTTGCATGAATTTTGCTTCTTTTTATCCATGGAAAATATTAAGAGGGTTTTTTGCACTCATCATCTTACAGAATGGAGACATTGAAGGTGATGGTCCTTTATCAAAACGTTTGCGGAGGTCATCTTCTGATGCTTTGCAAGATATGATTGGTGAAGAGCTATCCTTGTATGGTTCAGCCCCAAATAATTCCGAGTCAGCACAGGTTATTTATTATTTTAAATGGTTATTGTCTTTGTTACTATCTTCTACATCCTTTTAATGTAATTGAAATTTTCTTTATGCATATAGGGGATAGTGCTTCACTATTGAGTTGTTTTTTCTTCTCAATTTTCTTTTCCAACTTTGCATCCATGCAGAAGACTTTCTCATTTGCAGTAAGAGATTCATTTGTTAACATCGGTCCATTGAAAGACTTCGCTTATGGCCTGAGGATTAATGCTGATCCAAATGCAACTGGAGTTGCTAAACAAAGTAACTATGAACTGGTTAGTTTTGAAATTTCTGTTGCCACTTTGAATTTTCCTGTTGTTGTATATGTACATCTTATAAAGAGAGGAAATGACAGTATGTTTCTGTTCTGGCTTCAAATGCCTTGTCTTTCTGGATTTCTACAAGTTTGGGTGCTCCATTTGTTATTTCTTGCTCATCCCTGGGTCAGTAGCATTTAACATCTAAGTGGTTTATGATTTATTGCACTATCAATTTAAGACTTGATAACTTTAAAGAGCTATGTCTTTGGTAATTTTTTCAGGTCTGCTGTTCTGGTCATGGGAAGAATGGTGCTCTCTGCATTCTTCGCCAGTCAATTCGCCCAGAAATGATTACTGAGGTCTCTCCATACTCTGAACTCTTAATTATGTTTTAAATGGACAAAACATTAATTGTTTTAAAACCATGTCTAAAATCTTGAAAAATACAAGGGAAATATCATGCACTTTTTTAATTGTGACTTCCCTTAAAAACATAATCTTGCTTTACAGTTTAGATTGAGTGACAGCCATACCTTTAGGTATTTATATATTGAATATAACTAATTTCTCATCTACCGGAAAAAATTTTCTTTCTTGTTCACCTATTTCATCAGAGTTTGACTTCCATCCATGCAATTGTGGGCACAATACTTACACTATTATAATCTGCAGGTTGAACTTCCTGGTTGCAAGGGAATGTGGACAGTTTACCACAAGAACACACGTGGTCATAATGCTGATTCTTCTAAAATGGCTGCAGAGGAGGATGAGTATCATGCTTATTTGATTATCAGCTTAGAGGCTCGGACCATGGTAATCCTATTGCCTATGCTAAATTGAGGTTTAAGATCGTATTGTGAATTTCTTGTATTGTTTTAGGTGTAAAATAATTTTAGTTGCATTTTTTTTTATCTTCTTGGTCCATCTTCAATATATTCTTTTTGATGTATCTGTGAATATATATATATTCTTGGTATGGTTTTAGGCGTAAAATAATTCTAGCTGCATATTTTGATCTTCTTGCTCCATCTTGGATATGTTCTTGTTGCTGTATCTTTAGATAAATATCTTTTATTCTTTTTTTCTTCATTCATAATGCATGTAAAATCTTTAGAGCTGCCACAAAGGCTTGCTTGGTTGTGTTGTATGTGTCTAGAATCTAGATAATAGCCAATAATTATGTAGCTGATATATGGTGAGGGCAGAAACTTGTGTTGATGGATAGTATGTGTGAGATCCTATTTCCTTTCCTTTGTATATATCGCTATTGGATGCGTAGATGTGCTGCTCTTTTGTGAAGACTCTGAAACGCAGAATTCTATAATGGGAATCTATTGTTGTGAAAGTACCCATACAACACACACAAATTAAAGTAAGAAAGAAAGAAACTTTTTACTACATGAAGAACCACGTCTTACAACTAAGGAAAAACCCAATTTTAAAATAATGATCCCTATACTAATAAACTGCCCCTTTAGGCTTTAGTGGACCTACATATGAGTAGTAAATTCTCTGGGTATGACCTCCAACTCAAAATCTGGAAGATAAAACTTGAATATCAGATCCCATTTCTCATTTTTTTCAGGAGACATTTTGTCATGATAACTATTCTTTCTTATGGTGTCTAGGTACTTGAAACAGCTGATCTTTTAACAGAAGTTACTGAAAGTGTCGACTATTATGTCCAAGGAAGAACAATTGCTGCTGGGAATTTGTTTGGAAGGTGAGCATGTGAAGTTTCGTTTTCTGTTATTGATTTATAGTACCCTTATTTTGAATGTACATTTGAATTTTCTTTGTTTTTAATTATGAATTCAATGTTTTTAGTTCAGTGCTCCTTTTTTTCCTGTTGTTATTCTAATTTACTAGGTATGGTTGGTTGAATAGTTAAGGATAGTTAGTGAATGTTTTGCACTGTCTATGTTAAAAGTCAAGGCTTGGTTTCATCATATTAAAGTATGACTTATATATTTTACCATGAAATGTAAATTGATAGAGAAATAGACAATCTTTGAACACTTCTCTTCCTTTACTTTCAGGCGTCGTGTTATCCAGGTGTTTGAGCATGGTGCTCGGGTTCTTGATGGTTCTTTTATGACTCAGGATTTAAGCTTTGGAGCTTCTAATTCTGATAGTAATACCAGTTCGGAAAACTCCACAGTGTCCTCTGTTTCAATTGCTGATCCCTATGCGTTACTGAAAATGATTGATGGAAGCCTCAGGCTGCTTGTTGGAGGTATGTTCTGGGCCTCTGACAAGGAAATATCTATTGAATAATCTTGAATTCAATGGGGATTTCTAACATTTGGTTTTCTCTCTTAAAGTGACTTCCTATTGGTCATTCCCTAAACTACCAGTTTTCTCTTTAGTAGATCAAATGATCCTTTTCTTCTTAATTCACTGAGATTGTTGTTGATTAAAAAAATCACTGTAATGATTGTATTAATGGATTTGGTCTTAAAAAGAAATGTGGCCTTGAACTTGGTCATTCATTTGGAATAATTTGCAATATTCACAGCTTCATGGTTCAAGCATCATACACAACATGCACCAAATAAATTTGTCTTCGAAAAAAATTGTAAATACTATTTACAGCAGTTATTTTATCACAATTAAGATTAAGATGTGATATTGTATCATTATCACTGCTAGATCATCTGCTTTCTGTATATGGTACTGTTATCATCAGGGTAATTCAAATATATTGAAAGTCAAGAACTTATGTTGCATGAGATATAGAGCCTGGATTGCAAGGAAATAGATATTGGCAAATTTTCCTTTTCCGTGCCGATGGGTCAGGCTGATGCAGATGACGAGTTAGGTCCTAACAGTTCTAGTAATCTGATAGTCAATAAAAAAAAAAAAGATAAAGAGGTCAATAAGTAGTACCTGCTCCTTGGTTGCAGTTGTTATGACTGAAAGGTACCGTTTGAAGGTCCCTCTGCTAAAAAGCTGGTTCAGAAATTCTAAAGCAGTCACTATCTTTTCAGAACATGATTGTGATAAAGCAGCTGGAACTGAAACCACTAAATCCTGTTGATCTTATTTCTTAGGTTTAAATTTCTTTGTGCGGTCAACCTTCATTGATGTATTTATCTAGATGTTATATTATTCTTCCAGGCTTTATATTAGTGTGATCTTTATTCTGGAAAATTTCATGTAGCTCATGTTGAACTTTGGATGACAGATCCTTCTACTTGCACCATTTCTATAAATACACTAGCTGCCCTTGAGGGCTCAAACAAATTAGTGTCAGCGTGCGCTTTGTACCATGATAAAGGACCAGAGCCATGGTTACGCAAGGCCAGTACTGATGCATGGCTTTCTACTGGCATCAGTGAGGCCATTGATGGTGCTGATTGCGGCCCTCATGACCAGGGTGACATATACTGCATTGTTTGTTATGAAAGTGGTGCCCTTGAAATATTTGATGTGCCAAATTTCAACTGTGTTTTCTCTGTGAATAAATTCATGTGTGGAAGAAGTCACCTTCTTGATAGAAATACCCAAGATCCTTGCAAGGATTTACAGAGAGGAACTAGCAATATCTCTGAAGAAGTCAATGCCTCTGGCAGGAAAGAAACTATGCAAAATATGAAGGTTGTTGAATTAGCCATGCAGAGATGGTCTGGACAGCATAGTCGCCCTTTTCTGTTTGGAATATTGACTGATGGGACAATTCTTTGTTACCATGCTTACCTATTTGAGGGTTCAGACAATGCTTCTAAAGTTGAGGACTCTGTTTCCATGACTTCTAGTTCTAGGCTTAAGAATTTGAGATTTGTTCGCATTCCCTTGGATACATACACTAGGGAGGAGATGTCAAATGAGACTGCATGCCAAAGGTTTACCATGTTCAAGAATATTAGTGGTCATCAAGGGTTTTTCCTTTCTGGGTCAAGACCAGTTTGGTGCATGGTCTTCAGGGAACGGCTCCGATTTCATCCACAGGTCAGGAACTTTGTTTTATTTGAACCATAGGGGATTTGTTCTATGATCTTAATTAGAATTTTATATAGAGATTCAATTTTCTTATAAAATGATTTCAATTAATCGGTCCTGTTGATTCAGGTTCTATCTCAAGAAATTGTTATGGAGACCCTTTTTTCATATCATAACTGTACTTGTTGGTTATACTTCATTCTGTCAGTGGTTGATATCTGATTGATATTCTGCACTATTATGTTTTCTTATCATTATTTTAGGTTGGATATTATTGGAGTTTTGATATTATCTTGGATCCTATCAAGATTCTTGATCTACTTGGAGTTTATATTTTCAGAACTGAGCAAAAATTGCACCCAATGAAATTTAGCAGAACTTTATTGCTTCATTATAATGTTTCAAAATATTTTGGAATCTTGTTGCATCAGCATGTTGTTTCTCACATTATGTCATTCTCTCTGTGCTTTTCTTTTCCAGCTATGTGATGGATCTATTGCGGCATTCACAGTTCTTCACAATGTGAACTGTAATCACGGGTTCATCTATGTTACATCACAGGTTAAAATATAATATACCCTTTACTTGCATTTGCTTTTTAACAATTAGTCTTTTCTAACATGCTTATTATTTTCCTTACCAACAAACTCGTGCATTGTGGTGCTTTTCATAGGGCATTCTGAAGATTTGTCAATTGCCATCCATATCAAACTATGATAATTATTGGCCTGTGCAAAAGGTGAGTCTTTGTTCCTCTTAGGTTCCTTATTTTTATCAGCTCATCTTTGATATTTGGAGGCGAAATTATATGCAATAATTTGGATATTCATGTATTTGAATTTCAATCCTTAGGTTCCTTTGAAAGGCACTCCACATCAAGTCACCTACTTCGCTGACAAGAACTTGTATCCGCTTATAGTTTCAGTTCCGGTGAGTGTAATTTCACTTTATTGGTGTCTCTTTTTTGCTTCTCTACCATCTGAGAACATGCCAGTACTGAACCTTTATTAGCCATAAAAACATGCGCATATAAATACAATGCTTGTGTTTACTTAAATCCATTCGGTTTATCTGTTTTTGCTTCTTATGTTATGCATGCACATCCATTTTGTGCTCCTTACCACTCTCAACTTCTTTTTAACTATCTTTATAACCTTAATCCAACAGCCTTATTCATATAGAAGGTATTAAATGGTTTTTGATTTCGTCATCTCTTGATGCCTGCTAGTTATTTTATATCTCGTCAGAAGATAACTAATACTATGCCTATGGTCATAGATAGATTCGGTCATTCATTTGTTATATCAAGACTGGTCAAATCTTCTCTCAGTTTGAAGATTTGGAATTTTTTATTCTACAGTAATCTCTCCTGAAGATATAACATTTGATGTAACCCTAAAATTATTATGGAACATGCTCTGACCCTAATTTGTCAAATATATTATCTAAAGGTGAACAAGCCGCTGAATCAAGTTCTTTCATCGCTGGTTGATCAAGAAGCTGGTCAGCAGATTGATAGTCATAATTTGAGCTCTGATGAACTTCATCGCACATACAGTATTGACGAATTTGAGGTTCGGCTCTTGGAACCCGAAAAATCTGGTGGCGTTTGGGAAACTAAAGCTACAATTCCTATGCAAAGCTCAGAAAATGCACTGACTGTGAGAGTGGTAACACTACTTGTGAGTTTGCTCTTTCCTTAGCTGAGCTGTTCCTCTTATGCTCTCTGGCACAGATATATTTATTCTTAGCAAATTTGATTATTAGAAGCTAAAAGAAAATTTCCTTCTTTTCTTATTAGTCCTCTGATGGTATTTTCCTTTTTTCTCTTATAATTTCTTTTTCTACCAAAAGAAATTTTTTCTTACTCAGTTTTGTATTTCAGAATACCATCACAAAGGAGAATGAAACCCTGTTGGCTATTGGAACTGCTTATGTGCAAGGAGAGGATGTTGCAGCAAGGGGACGCGTAATTTTGTTTTCAGTTGGAAGAAATAATGATAATACTCAAATTTCGGTATACTCATAAAAGGAGCCTCTACTTGTTAAAGTCCATTGTTTTCCCCATAATTCACTGTGAACTCATTCCATTCTGAAATCCTTAAACTTTTTTTTAACAGTGTTGCAATTCTTCAGGTTCTGTGTTATGATCTATGATTCCCTCTGTAGGTTGCAGAAGTTTACTCGAAGGAATTGAAGGGTGCTATATCTGCTTTAGCCTCAATTCAAGGCCATCTACTGATAGCATCTGGTCCAAAAATTATTTTGCACAAGTGGAATGGCACTGAATTGAATGGTGTTGCATTTTTTGATGCTCCACCATTATATGTTGTGAGCCTGAATATTGTAAGTGTTTTCTTTTCCAGTTTAATTAAAGTGTTACTTTCTTAGCAATGAGTATATGTACTTATTTGTTCTGAATTCGTTTCCAATCTTCAATTGTCGCATCAAATATTTTCATGTAATCATCATGTCTAGTTGGGGAATGCTGCCTCATGCTGATATTTTTGGTAATCTGTGTTTTGGCTCTTTTGTTCCACCAATTTATTTGCTGATGTCTTGCCTGAAAAAGCACCACATCTAGTGGTCACATGTTTTGCAGGAAAGTTCTGGAGTGCCTCACATGTTAGAGTGAAAATTTTAAGTTATTGTTTTCTGGTAACATGTTTAGCAATTTGAAAAATGATGAACAAAGAAACCTATAATGGAACTGTACGATAATGCATTTACATAAGTTGGATTCAATATGGCCTTTTGTAAGAGGTCAAATTTATTTAATGTCAACATACAGGTATATTTGGATTTCCCGGTTCCTTGTGGTGTACCCTACATTTTTAATGTTTATTTCCCTTTTGTAATGCCTATGGATACCATTGCAGGTGAACAATTTTATCCTCCTTGGCGACATTCATAAAAGTATATACTTCC